CCTGATCATCCTCTATTCGGACCTGCTGGGTAAAGCCACGAGGAACCCCGGAACGGGCTCCCACACCATAGCTCAGTTTTTCAGGATCCTATGATAAATCTCCTGTGTTGTAGTGAGTTTTATCTTCTAATAAATTCCTTTCCTATTATACAGACTATGTGGATTTCTATCCAGTTATGACTAGTAATCTGGGGAATGAGAAAACTTGGCAGAAAAATTTTTGTTTTGATTTGACTAAGATATAAATAAAGGATTTACAGATTGAAGGAACCAGGGAAGTGACCATGTCCTGTGCTGAACAATTGGCCCATAGTTGATGGGACTCATTGTCTTCGAGTTATTGAGCTAAGTGGTATGTCATATTTGGAAGGCATACCTATCATTTTTTTAGGGGCTCCAATGGATATTTGTCCAGAGACTGAATTCTGTCTCATTGCCTAAGGTTATGAAGTTTTAGTCTTGAGAATGGATGAGCTATTATATGACTTAGTTGCTCTGTTTCTATGTTACTTAGGCTGGTTCATTTCAACTTACTGTCCCACAGATTCAAGAATCAGGTGAGATGCTTTCATTTATTGTCTTGAAATCTTTAAATCATGTATTGCCTTAAAATCTTTCCTAAAGAATTCAGAGAGAACACACTCTAACCATCATGGTCCTCTACACTAATGTATTACTAAGGTACATCTTGATATACTGAATCTTTGAGGGTGAGGGCCTGGCAGTCATGAACAGTGTATGTCTCATCTAATTGAGTGAGTGGCCAAGGGACTGTAACTTGGGAAGGTTGACTGGCCACAAGAGTGGTCAGACATCCATTGTCACACATGGACTGTCCACTGGTGGTATGGTATGTTCTATCTTTCATGAGGAATTCTGGGATGTGATTATTATATGTTCATTTTCTGCAATGTAGGGCCACTATTTAAGGGCCCTACTCAAGGGGAGAGGGAGTCTAAAATTGCCTGCAGGGATTGTATTTAACCAGGGCTTCTCATCTCACTGATGGCTGTCTCCACAGCTCATTTGGTACTTTAGAATATTGATTGTTACTGTTACATTATTTGGTTGCCTGTGTGTTAGGGATGACACAATCTCTTCACAGGTATAACCAGTGCTGCACATAGTCTTTACGACCTTGGGAAGAGTTTCCTTAGTGGTAGGCAGTACATGTTCTTGAATGTGGCCCAGCCAAGGTGGTTCCACAAGCTGACATTGCTAGCCTGTACCAGATGGGGACTGTGAATAATCGTGCAATGATATTGTGACAGGTTTTTGACAAATGGTAGGGAATGGGGCACATTGTGGTAGTGATGATCCTGTGCATACTATCAAGACAGATTTCTACATATGGAAAATGCCCAGTATCCAGGACATATAGGACAATGCCCAAGCTCCATTTATCACCTGCCAGTCCATCATAGGGTTTCCTTGCCAAGATTTTTGGGGCCTAATAAAGCAAGGAGCTACAGATATCCTCCAACATCTTTCCTTCTGCAAGCTGAGTTGCCACACCAAAATCACAAAGCTTGACCTTGCTAGCTCCATCAAAAATGATATTCTCTAATTTAATATCATGATGTGCAACATGTCTTTGGTAGAAAGAGTACACTGCTGACATGACCTGTTGGAATATTGATCTAGTCTCCTCCATTAGATAGCCTGTCCCCTGAGGAACATCTCCAGATCTTTTCCAGCAACATATTCCACGACCACATAAGTTATTGTCAGTGTGTCAACAATATAAAAAAGAAAATTGCACTGTGTTACATGTTCCAAATATTGAAGGATGTTTACTTCAGAGCTGATGTGAGCCAGAGCATTGTGATTTTTCTCAAGGACCTTGATTGCCGCCTGTACATGTGGCAGGTAAGCATCACTTCCCCGAATGCACCACAACTTAGAGATGATAAGATCCTGAAATCCTTTTCAAGAATGTCTTCTTCCCAGGAGCTGGCCATGATGTTCAGCTCAATTTCAACCACTGTATTTTGTGAGAAATTTCAGGGACACACAAGGCTAGAAAAAAAATTAATGTAGTTTTAGGATGGAAATTTATAGCTATGAATTCTCTGTCTTGAAATCTAAGATATCCCAAGCAATCTAATGATGCCTTTAAGGCCATAGAAATACAAGAAAAATTGAGGATAATTTACATAAACTGAACAATAGTATACCATATGTTCAGACTTGGGGAAGAGTCCATACTCAAACACAGTGACCACTGAACTGTTCTGCTATACGCAAAGTAGCTAGAACTAGAGTTAGCATCATATAAACCAAACCAATTCCACAAACAGAAATATGACATTTTTTCCCTGTGGATATGAGCAAGAAGAGGGCTGACCATTTATAAAAGAAAGAGTATTAGTCACAGAGCTGGAGTGGAGGAAGTGAAATAGAGCAGAAGAGTATGACCATTTGCTGTATAGACATGTATTGGAGTGATATATTGAAATTGTATACAGTAACACATGTTCTAACAGAAGATAATTGAAACCAACTTTTAAAAAAAAAAGATTACATGGGTTTTCAAATAGGAAATTGGTAATAATGAAGAAATAGATTAGACATTCACAAGTCAAACCCAGGAAAGGATGTAAACCAATAATATAAATGTAAACATGAAACAGCAAACCTTAACCCCTGGAAGCGAAACCAATAAACCAGAAACAAACTCACTCTATTGAGGTCCAGAAGATTGGAGATTCCTAGTTTGTTAGAGCCAATTTTAAGTCCGACTGCTCTGAAGGTAACCAACTGCTACTCCAAGATACGACAGGGCCCAGTGCAGGCAGTGCCCAACATGGACTAGTTACTAACATTTTTCATAATGCCTCCATGTGATATCACCACAAGCAACCAACCAATCATGGCTTATCAGATCTGACAGTGATTTTTATCAGGTTCTGTACCACAACTAGTTCCCGGAGTATTCTTCTCATGTCTGTGACCAAATCTCGGACCAGAATCAACTTTAGAGAGGAAGGAGTTTGAGCATAGGCTTTCAAGAGACATTGAAGCCATTATGTTGGGAGCATCTTGTTCCCTACAGAGTTGTTAGGTGTCTGGTGACCCTGCATTAGAAGTTCTCTATCCTCCAGTGACACATATCCTCTAGCTAGTTCTGTGTCCACGTGTTCCACAAATTTCCAAACTAGAAACCAAGTTCTCAACACATTTAACATACATATATTTAACAAAACCACTGTGATATTTGAATTAGAAATGTCTCATACAAATAGGGCATTTGTACACATGGACATTCAAGGAGAGTTGATGGTATGCTTTGGGGAACTTTATATGGTGGAGCCTTAGTGACAGAAGTCCATCATTGGGACTGTCCTTGAGATGAGCAAGCCTAGTCTTCATCTGCTCCCTCTGCTTCCTGTTTGAATTTGAGGATGTGACACTCTGAGACTTCTGCTTTTGCCTTCAAGATTCCAACTTGCTGCCATTCCTCTGTCCCACCATCATGGGCTCTTATTCCTCCAAAAATTAGCCAGATATGCTCTTTCTTAAAATTCCATGTTTGTGAACTTTCATCACAACAGAATAGTAACCAATATAAATGAGCTTAGCAGAGGGGGTTCCTACCCATCCCCACCCCACCTATGTAGTCCAGAAGTCAAGGCAGATTCTTTGCTCTTACAATCACACATTGATTGCATCTCTCCCACACACCCCCACCAGAGAAACAATGACCCCTGCAAGTAGCCTCAATTCCAGGTCCCTTCCTCTGGCATGTAACACAAGTCTCATATGAATAAAGCCTGTTTCCTGGTGATACAGGACCTCCTCTTCTTCAGAAACCTTGAAGTTGCTGGGCAGTGGTGGCACATGCCTTTAATCCCAGCACTCAGGAGGCAGAGCCAGGCAGATCTCTGTGAGTTTGAGGCTAGCCTGGTCAGCAAAGGGAGCTACAGGACAGGCACCAAAACTATATAGAGAAACCCTGTCTCAAAAAACAAAAAAGAAAAAGAAACCTTGAAGCCCATGGAGACATAATTTAGAAGGGAATCAAACTGCTTCAGACTCCCACTGAGTGGCCATCATTACTAGAGTCCTTTTGCCTGAAAGGGGGATCTCTCCTAGCATCACAGTCCCTCTAATAACCTCCCATCTTTACCTTCCTCCCCACTACAGAAACAAACTCATATAACAAGGAGAGATACAAGAATCAGTGGAAAACTTAAAAGTCCAAATAATAAGACTAGGCAGCAATCTGAAAGAACCAACATGTCAACAATGTCTTGTATTGTTACCAGGAAAATTCACTCATGAATCTAGTAATCTAAAGAAATAACTAATGATCCACAAGTATTACAGTAGCCTATGAAACTAGAGGAAGGGATACTTTCAAATCTTTTCATAAAACAAACTTTTCATGAAGCCCTTACTCTCTAACCAAGTAAAAACACCTTGAAAAGACACAAGTATCTGGCAGTGTTCTTGACTAAGAACATGAGAATGTCCTTGATGACAGCAGTAGATACTTTACTTCATATTCAATGACACATTAAAAAGACAGTTCTTCGCTGGGTGGTGGTGGCGCACGCCTTTAATCAAAGCACTCGGGAGGCAGAGGCAGGTGGATCTCTGTGAGTTCCAGGCCAGCCTGGGCTACCAAGTGAGTTCCAGGAAAGGCGCAGAGCTACACAAAGAAACCCTGTCTCAAAAAACCAAAAAAAAAAAAAAAGACCATTCTTCATGATCAAGATGCCTTCACTAGGAACCCAAGAATTCATCCATATGCAAAAATTGACAAAGAGTATAGCATACCCAACATCAAGTGAACATAGTCACCCATGAAAAGGAATGAAATGCTACTGCCAGGGAAAAACTTGGAACTTGAGAAAGTTTTACTACAAACAATCCAATTCTACAAACAAAATAATTCATTTTTGTCTACCTCAGGTAGTAGACAAGGAGGTGAATTTTTGTATAATGGGAAGTATTGATCACATGACGTGAGCAAGGAAGTGACACAGAGCTGGTGAATATTACCACAGTTCACCACAGTAGGACTATGTAGTCCTGATCAAATTCCTCATTGTATACATACATACCAGCAAAGTATAAAATAAACCAGAACACAGCTAACAATGACAAAGAAATGAGGTGGGAAAAAATGGAAAATCTCAGTCAATGAAGAAACAGAAATACAACCAAATTTTGAAACAAAAATGAACATTTTCAAAAACCCAATCATTAAATCCCAAACACCAAAAGCCAAACAGAAAATGAGGAAAACTCACTTTTTCAAGATCCAACTGGTTGGGAAAGTCCATGAGAAATGACTGCGTCCAACTGCTTATCTACCAACCCACAGATCACACAGCATCACAGCATCCTTCAATGATTCTCTCAGGAACACTGTAGCAAGATGAAAAGGGCAAAGCCCCTTAGATTCATGACCTTGAACAACTTACATAGGCATCCTGTGAGACTTCTAGGTTTTTCCTCTTCAAACTAAGCACAGAGGCGTGTTAGTGCAGAAAATGAAATCACAAGGCCTCTTACCCACTTAGCTGCCCTTAGCATGGGCTGCTGTTGGAAACCATTTACCTTCATTCAGTCTCCTCACTCTGCTGAGCTTTCACTCCATATGAGATCTCTCATAGTATGGATTCCATCTGGTTCTTTTTGGTGGGTAAAGAACCAGGGATCAGGAAATTCCATAGTCATTTGTGCCATGCCACTTGTCCTTTGGCCTAGGTCTTACCTTTACCTCCATTTTTACAATCCATAGAGGATCAACATCATTTGGGGGTTGTTTTCCATATGAGATCTTAGTCACTAACATATTACATTGTCTACACAGTATGCAGGAAAACCAAGGTGGGAAGGTAGGTGTGCTGTGGCCAAGACATAGAGGGTGGTCAATGGCTGTGGCACTCCACATTGCTTTAGTGGGGTTTGTATCTCTGTGGAGCTGTCCTCCTTAAGTCTCACTGGGTGGCTTCCATAGCCCACTGCTGTCAGAAGTGGTTTACCTTCCCTGGGGCCCCAGGGATGGGCAAGCTGGGGAGTAAGCTGCTAAGTGAGAACAGGAAAGGAGTACAGAATAGCATGCCTTTCTCATTGGGGCTTTACTCTTGGTCAGTCTTTTTCTATCAAAGGCATGTCAGTCATTCCTTGACATAGTCCCTGCCACCTAGGATATCCTACCAGATCTTCAAAAGTGCTCATACGCACCTTCCACAGTGAATCCCATGTCCCACAAATGTATCAATGATACCAATATATTCCTAGAGTAGTAATCATGTTTTCTTGTTCATCTACAGACTCCATCTTATCTCAGTGTTACCTACCCTCCATGAGTTAGGAATTGTTCAGTTGGCATTATACTGAGCACTGTGTGTTGGGAAGCAGAGTGATATGCAGCAGGGACTTACGACTTAGTGTATGTGATATTGTAGGTACAGGTTTACATATGGCCTTAACAAACCTAGCATTGTATGTGGGTATTTTCAAGGGATGGGGAGGGACATATGAACTTTTAAGTCTCAGGCTTTGCTGGTCCATATCCCCTACAGAAATTTCTATATCTGGCCTTGCTACAGTCCATTTCCCTGCTTCTGAAGCCCAAGATGTACCGCTTGATATCAGGCCCCACTGAACCCCCAATCAATCACCCCACCTTCATTTCTGTCATCTAAGATACACTTCAAAAATACAGCAGGTCTTCACTTCACATTCACAGCAGATGAAGGCACTGCCACACACTCTCTAATCCATCATTACAACCACACACACACACACACACACACACACACACACACACACACACACAACTTTCTTGTTAACATGATCATCATTACCTCTGTTCCACATATATAGCTATATATCAGGAACTGCTGGACACCCCCTAGATGTGGAAATTTTCTTCTATGCTTTTTACTGAATACATTTTCCATATTGTGGCAGGAAAGCTTCTTGTCATTTTTCTATTCCCATAATTCATATTTTTCCATGGTTTATCTAAAAATTCATGTTTCCTCATACTAAAAAAATTATCACTGAAATTTATTTAAATTATTAAATTTCTCATCTTCTAGCTGTGTTTCCCATGCATACCATTCTCTTTCAAGACTTTCCACTTTGCTTTTAGTTAGACTTATTTATTTTTCATTTCTATGATAGCTTTATTCTCTAGTACTTATGTCTTTCTATTAAGTTCTATTTTCATATCTTAAATTTCTTCCTGCTTTCATTTCACATTGCATTTTTTCTGAATTAATTCAGGAAATTATTTGTACCTCAGAAAGATTTGTACCACAATAAATTTATTGATGCATTTATCTGAACATATTCACATTCCTTTTTAATTTTAATTAACTTATTTGTTTTACACCCATATCTCCATTTCCCTCCCTCCCCTCCTCCATTTCCTCTCTCCTCCTTTCTGACCACCCCATCAGTCCCTCCTCCTCTGAGTCTGTTCAGAAACAGGTAGGCCTCCCATGCTTATCAACATAGCATGGTTTATGAAGATGAGACAAGCTTAAGCAGTTCCCCTTGTATTAGGCTGGGCAAGGCAATCCAGTGTGAGGAATAGGTTCCCTGGAGCCAGCCAAAGTGTTAAGGACAGCCCCTGTTCCCATTGGAGTCAGTCCCACAAGTAGACCAAGCTACAGAACTATCACTTATATGTAAAGGGCCAGGGTCACTCCCGTGCAGGCTGTGAGTTCCTATGAGTCCAGTTAGTTGTTTCTGTGAGTTTTCTTGTGATGCCCTTGACCCCTATGGCTCCTATGATCCTTCCTCCCTCTCTTCAGTAGGATTTCCTGAGCTCAGAATAATGCTTGGCTTTGGGTCTCTGCATCTGTTTCCATCAATTACTGGATGAAGTCTCTCTGATGACAATTGGGATAACCACCAATCTGATCACAGGAGATGACGAATTCAGATTTTGTATCCACTATAGCTAGAACAATTCACTGGATTCATTCTTGTAGATTTTTGGGAGTTTCCCTTGTATTAGGTTTCTACCTGATCCCCAAATTGTCCCCCATTTTTAATCATCTCTTTCAGTACACCCTTTCTCCATTCACCTCCCAACCAGATCCCTCAAGTTCCCATCGATCCAGGAGATCTCTCTTTTTTCCCCTTCCCAGGGAGATTCATGTGTCCACCCCTGAGCCTTCCTTTTTACATAGCATTGAATTTGACCACTACTATGGGGTTAGTCATCTTGGGTGGAGTTATGTTGACTTTCGTTTTTCATGTTATTTCCTTTTTTGTCATGGGGCTTGCTCATCTGGATTTAGTTTTTTGGTTAAGTCGTTCTAATACCTTTGTGTTCAGGGAGTATTTTGATTGGTGCTTGGTGTTCCTAGTTTGGTTGTGCTTAATTTGTCTGTATTCTGCTTGAGCTCAGGTGTGAGACACATGGTGCTAGTTTGTAGGTGGGATAGCTGAATGATGCTGGATGAGCTAGAGTAGTATCCCTTCTGACCTCACAGACCAGGCTTCAGGAATTGTGATGGGATGTGTTCTGGGGCAGGGTTCAGAATGTCCCACATCCTCTGATCTCATGAGCTAGGTTGTATGTATTACAATGGTTATGGTGCTGATTACTATGTGTTAACATATATTCTGACCTCATGAACCATGTTACACACAGCATAGTGGACATAATTCATCAAAGTTTTGAAATAGGACTAGGTGATAAATCATCCATGGTGTTACCTGAGTTCTTGCAGCCTCCTAAACTGATGTTCCTGCAATCGCTGTTGCAGCTTACATGTCCCATGATTAACTATCTCAAGTCAGAAGATTTCATTCTTCTGTTTTTATCTTCTCATGGGTGCTCAACATATTAAAAAAAAAACCAACAAACAAAACCTCAGATCCCTCCCCTAGCTCCGTATACATCATTTGGGCACTTTTTTTGTTGTGTTTACCCTCATTCAGCAAGATTCCTGAAATCTATCTGCTTCAGATATTTTCTATGATTAACTTCATTATAATTAACCTTGATTTTCCTGGGCCTTGATTTGTCTTCCCCATGACATCAATCCAAACTTAAAACTTGTATTTGTTTATATAGGTATATATTACATACTTAGAGGCAGCACTCAGTAGGTGAAGGTTGGAGGATTCCAAATTGAGGCCAGTCCTGGGATACTGTCCTAGTATACTTTTTATTGATGATAGACATATCCTGATAAAACCCAATGTGGTGGAAAGAGTTTATTTGGCTCCTATGTCCTGTTCAAACTCCATCATTAGGGATGGTATTGTAGGAACTCTAGCAGATGCACAGGACAACTGTTTACTGGCTTGTTCTTCATGGCTGCTTTAGTGTGCTTTCTTACACAGTTCAGGAACAACTTCCAGGGGTGGAGCCCCCCACAGTGGGCCTGCATCTCCCACTTTAGGCATTAATAAAAAAAATGGGTGCTGTAACCTGCATTCAACTGTAAAATCACAGTCCTAGTTTCAGACACTTAGCACAATAACCCTCTTTTCTTTTTGAGGCATCTCTCTGTGTAAATGGATGGATGTGGAAATTATTATATTGAGTGAGAGAACCCAAATCCAGAAAGCCAAATGCCAGGAGTACTCTCCATCAGATGTTTCTGTCTCCCAAACTTCTGAAGTGAGTATAAAATAGGGAGGAACAGAGAGGGGAGTGGATACCAATAGTACTTGACACATAGCTTTTTATGTTAATCTTTGGCCCTCCTACACAGTTCTCCTAGTTCCTGAGACCCTCCTAAGGGAGCTTGTACCTAGCAGAAGTGGAAACCTAGCCCTGTGTGTGTATGTGGGTATTTTTCTGTGGGGGAGGAAATGTCTAGAAGTAATAGACACATAGTTGTATATTTGTATAAAGG